CTCCTCCCCTTGGATCAAAAAAGTGCTTAGTTCTGGTATGCCAATCCAGCTTTGGCCCGATAGCTGGAAGAATTCAATGCCCTGTTCCTGGTATGCTAGAACAGCGTGTACCATTCACCCTGCCCCCCAGCCCTTCTTTTCCTGATGAAGCATAAACGCCTTCCTGTATCCAAAGACTGCTAATTAAATTATTTTAGCAAAACAGTAATGAGACAGCAGAATTATGTTCTCTGGCAAGGCTGACTTTTTGGGTTTGTTTTGTTTTTAATTTGTCCTCTAGATGCCGAGGATGAATCTGGCTGTGCTGCTGAGGGCTAATTTCCTGCTTTAGTTCAAACTCCTTGAAATTAAGTTCAAATAAAGTACAGTTTACAAAGCACAGAAAATACACGGGTTTCTAAAGCTGTTTGGCTGAAAAGCTAATCTCTTTTTTACTAATGATTTGAAAAAATTAAGATCTCATATGGTTCCTTGGAGAAAGTTTTTAGTAAGTCATTTCGCTTTGTACAGAATGCAGTTTAAATTGGCGTTTTCCCTGTTGCCTCTGTAAGGTAAAACGAGCCTGATTTTGGTTCCTCAGTTGACATTCTTAATGTCAGCTGAGGTGTAACAGGTTAACATTCGTGCAGGGGTAGCAGTAACATTGGATTTTTCATAATTTAGTATATTGTAGGCTGGTTGCAACTTCATAACCAATAGCAGTAGTTATTGCAGGGTTATGCTGGTCCCTTAATATCGCTTTCTCAGTGCTTTAAAGTTGCTGCGTGTACTTGCACGGCTGTACACGTTTCATGGTAATAGCTGTGATGTTGGGTGTATAGCCTTATAGTTAGCGGCATAAATTAGTACAACAAAAACACACACAGTAGTTGTTACATATACCCGTGTCTGGCTGGACTTCAGCAGGGTGGCTTTTCATGGTGGTCCTCCTCCTTACCTGGTCAAGGCACCTGTCCGAGCCCTGCGGGGTGCCATTACACGGGTCAGGAATTCAACACCGGGAAGCTGATACGGGGTGGGAGCTGTGACGGGTGGGTGGTATTGGGGTGTGGCTCTCGCAAAAGAGGGGTCGGTGGGGAGGAGGCTGCTCTGAAAATAAAAGAATTTGATCTTTACCATTCAACCAGGAATAAAGGGCGGGCTGAGGTGGTAGATCTACATCTTTTATTAACAGCCAAGTGTTAGAAGTGTCTCAGGCTGCCAAGTGTACTGTAGGGCGTCCAGGTAGTTTATCGTGTAGTGGAACTTGTATAATGAGAGACTGCAAACTGTGACCGCTTAGCCTGTGGTGAAGAAGGTAGAAGTTAGTGGAGCCGAGGTGTGCAAACTTACGTTACTCTGAGCTGCTGTTCTTACTTCTTCCTCAACGCATTTTACATTCATTAAAGCAGCAACCGTCCTCATTATTCTTTCAAGACCTATGTTGTGATGCAAAACTGAAAAAACGGAAAGCTAGAGCAGGTAACTAACCTCGCATCTCAGTAATTTGTTCTTATGTTCTGGTAGTTGTAAAGTCGCTGTTGTAGGAAATGACTAAGATTCAGGCTTTTCCCCTATGGAAGAAGAAGCTTAATGTCTGTCAGTCTATCTGTAATATATGTAGTCATGTGAAATGATGTTTGCCATAATGTGCTTGTCTTCACATGAATGAATTGATTGCTTCTGAATCAACACAGACCACTGGGAAGGCAGCTACTTAGTAGGCATCTCCGCCTGGTAGATTTGGGAGGCATTGTCCCAATGCTTTGAGTGTTGGCCACACCGCAAGAATTGCATCACAGGTACTCCTTGTTTCTCAATTATTTCCAAACAAAATTTATTTCCAGGTTGCAGGATGTTCTTCTAAACACCAGAAGGGTCAAAAAAGAATATCAGACCAAAATAATTGGGGCTGAATTATTTTGGGTTTAATGATGATTGCCAGTAATACGGGATCTGCTATTGCTGATATCCACGTAGATGGTCTTGGATAAATCCTACTGATGGTAGGGATATATCAAATTTGGGAATAACGTTGGTGTACACTCAACAGATCTTTGCCTTCTAGATTTGTTTGTGCAGGAGTTTGTTTCTTCTGCTGAATTAAAGTAGTGCAGTTTTGGAGATAAGGTAATCTAAATACACTGCATACTAAGTATTATATTGACAGAATTTGGGGTTGGTTATATCAACATGGTCTGTGTTGCTTACGTGCAACATGGTAGCTTTTAAAACAATATACATTTCTTTAGAGTTCGAATTAACATTATATTTGCTTTACTTTTGGGGGAGTTGCTTAGTTCCCAATGCTTAATTAACATAACCAGAATAAACTCGGGAAGCATGGCTGTAGAATTAGAATTGTCAAAACTGCTGTCCTCTGAAGATAGAATAGTCGTTGGTACTGACAATTTATTCATTATGCTGTGAAGACCTGTGAGAGGTTTAGATACTTGTTCTAAATGTATGCTTGAAATGTTTGTAGCCTATGAAAATTTTTGTGGTGCAGTCTCTCAACAGTGCTTGTCTCAGTGTTATGGCAGTATTTGCCACTAGAAGCAAGGAAATACTGAAGTGAAACTATAGTTTGAGCAGTAATGTAGCCTATGTGCAATATATAACCTCCCACCTCATGCAAATACACAGGATGTTTTCTTCTATTTAGAAGTTATTTTTTGTTCAATCCTGGTGGCAACTCTAGCCATCTTCCTCCAGAAGACGTTTTGCTATTTGTCTTTCTCCTCCTGTAAGAATTAAATGGAATACAGTCTTCTTGAAATGCTTGACTTGGTTGACAGCTCTGTTTTTCTATTGCAACTTCTTTCAGCGCAGTGTCCCCTGTCCCCGTCCCCCCCAGCTTCTTCCCTGCTTCACTGGTCACTTTGCCTCTTCA